GGCTTTAAGAGGTCCTTCCAAAACACAGACAAATCACAGTGCTTCTAGACACATATGAACCGATGAATTATTCATTCATTCGCAGGATCCAACTTTGTGTGCTTGGTATTTTTTACGTATTGTTTCACCTTAAAAATCTGAACAGAATGTCATTGTGTCTCTGTAGTTGTTTGAAGAATCCAACATGTCTTGGATGGGATTTAACAGGAACTTGAGACGGCTGAGGTTTGGCTTAAGCTCTGGTGGCTTGTTGAAAATAGGTTAAAGGACTAACTCTTCTAAAACATGCACCATAAACCCATTATTTTGCCCATAAACACAGTATAACACTCATAGAAATGGTCATTTCACAAATATTTATTATCTCAAAGGAAGCAGATGTGTTTTACCCCCACCACTGCAAGGACAGGGGATACATCTCGAGTGGTTCATGGTGGTTGAGTGGTTTGATTCAACAAATACTGCTTGTCGAGCTCATACTGATTGATCAGGATTCATATATGACAACTCATATATACTATATATAACTGTATATAAAGATGGACAACCTGTCTCCACATCCTACTGTTGTCCAAAAACTAGACCAAAATATCCATGATGCACTTTTGACATCATATGGAGCCAGATTCTGATCATAAGACAAACATAACTGTGATAAGAACAACCTAAACTGACAGATACCATGAAAACGTGTTCTTTGACCTTTTTGCCATCTGCTAACATGGACAATGCAGGGTTTATGACCTATACTGCAGCCAACCAATCAAAAGTCTATGGCTGGCAAAAATGACTTGCTTCAGCCTTCCCAGGTTGACAGTGGAGTAGTCATTGAAAAAGAGACAGTAAAGGAGCATTGGCCATTAAAAAAAGAGAGAAAAGAGGCTGCGGATCACACCAGTGTTTAGCGTGATAGCATTCTTATATTGGTTAATTAGCAGTAAACACAAAACATCTATAGCACCAAGCTGACGTTGATGTCATTCAGTTTTTAATGGCAATCTGACATCCAACAGTTGGTGACCAAAGTGGTGGACTGACCGACACAACAACAATTCCTTTCCTAGAGCTCAGCTGCTAGTTTGACTAAAGATATCAGGTAAATTTGATTTACACACTAAATCCCCTGATAGACAGCTACTACTGGGCAGAAAATGTAATCCATGTTGCACCTTTGGCCAGATCCTAGTCTGTGATGTCACAGCAGGTTTTTCCCATCATCTGTCAAATCAAAACCACCTGCTGTAACACCACTGATTGGGGTGTGTCCAAGACATTTTTCATCAAATGCAGACACATGCAGAAACCTTTTTTAACATCAGTCTTTTTAAGTTGTGCTCAGGTTAACGTGGAGAGCTTAGCTGTTGATGGAGCCAGACGATGCAATACAAGCAGCACACATTGAAATGAAGTATTTTATAATCAGTAACATGTGCCCACTACCTGGATTTTTTTTATGGGCAAACTGAACACTGGCATTAGTTTTTATTCTGCCATCTAAACATCACACCATTTCCTGCACTAACAAATTGCACAAGACATAAATTGAGTCTATTTAAAATGGGGAGAGGGATTCTGATTCTGCTTTAAACTAAACAAATTTGGGTTTAGCTGCTTTACAGCGACAACTAGATGATTTATGATTCAGTTTTTGAGCACAGAATACTCTCAATATTTCAAAAGCTGTAGATTGTTCAGGTCAGCTGAGCACATATTTATTATATACAGACAGTCGAGACAGGTAAATGAGTGAAACACCTAAGGCCAAAACTTGACCGTAACTTGACCACATTGCTCAGATGTTTTTGGCCCTGTTCAGACCTGGTATTAACATCCTGCCTGAGAGATCCGATCACAAGTGGGCAGTTTGTTAGTTCACACCTGGATGCACCCCAAATGTGTTTCCTGTGACCACTCGTGATCAGATCTCACTTCCCTGTTCTGTATGCAGATAAACATGTACATTTTTTTCTGTTCACGAAGCATATTTTAATATTGTTGTTTTTAGCTAGAGTTTACAGAAGTGTTATTTTATAAATCAATAAGTCTCAGTCAGTTTAAATACTGTACAAATACTGTAAATCAAGGGTAACATATAGAAAAGTAAAAATACCATTGGCTGATTTTGAAAGTGTTGCAATTTAGAATACAGCTGAGTAGACGGTCATTCAATGTTACCCAGGAGAGAATCACGTTTACACATCTATTAGAATGTGGTCACATGCGGCCCAGACCACCACCGAATGTGGTCTGAGTGATTGAATCTCAAATGTGTCCTAAAAGGTGTCTTGGGCTCGTTCAAACCAGTATTTAGCGCTGCCCACTTGTGATCGGATCACTCAGTCAGGACGAGTAAATACCAGGTCTGTACCCGGTCTTTGATCATAATTCCCACCCAACTATTGACAACTTGCTGACAGCCAGAAAATGAAGAGTGACGTGTAACTGAAGACACAGGTGTTGTGAAAGTGTTTGTCCAGGTGCTCAAGAGGAACAGGATGCATGATCTGTCTTTCTCTTCACCAGGAGGGTTATTTACCATTAAATCTCATTTACAAGAATGTCTTCTCTGACCACCAGGTGTGAGATGCTACAGGGTTCACACCCTGACCTAGGTTGACCCCATATGACATTCAAGGTCCAGAGGTCACATTAGTCACTTCAGCAATGACCTTCACAGACAGTGAGGTTCGACCCGGAATGTGTGTGTTATGACTTTATTTATTTTTGGAATAATAACAGATGTTGAGACTTAAACAACCTTTGAAACAATTTTTAAAACTAATGACTCATGAACTATAACTAATCGCTGCCAAGCTGTTTTTTCTTCTTAATCCTCTGAACAAAGGGAGATGGTTAATAAGTGCTTAGAGATTATTGGGACATAACACAAATACTTTTTGACTTTCTCAGCATCTTTTCAGCAGGTGGAGGCAACATGGCAGAGTCTCTGCCAAGTCACCTGCTCGTTGACTATTTCACAGTAAAAGCCGGTGTAGTCGTACCTAAAGACGGTGGATGTTGACTTGCAAATAAATTGGCCATTAAATGACATGTGATGATATGTGGTTCAGCAATTCTTTTCTTTAAAGCTTATGAGTGACCTTGTGTCTCGGGGAACATTGATTAGTTGTTCAAGAACTTATCTTTTCAGTCTGAACTTACTTACTCAATCTTATTAAATGATCATCCTCAGGTGGAACATACACGATACAACATGTTAATAGTGATCTTTAGAGGTATGCTGAGTGGATGTTGTTTTCTTTGTTCAGACTCAGATCCAAGCTGATTCGCTCTATTGTCAGTCTTTATGCTAAGTTAACCTTCTTGGCTATCCCTACAACATGGACCAAAAGTTCTTCAAGTGCCCAGAGAAGATGAAAAATCTACAAATTCCATGACAACTGTCCAACTCCATCTGCTGATGAAGATCTTGTTATATGATTTAAAGCTCTAGAGCAGCTACTAAATGGTCCCTGAAGTGGGTTGGGTGTTTAATGCCAAAAATGAACGTTTAGTACTACAAAGTCATGAAAAATATTTGAATATTGATTTAATACTGAAGAATATGCCGACTTATTTGATCTGTCCTGATGCTTAGGGTCTGGTGCTGGTCATGATACTTCTAGATATTCATTTCATTTAATCACGTAATGGAGTGGAATTAAGTTAGTGATGCAACCATAAAACACTGTAGGATATACTGTACATCAATAAACTTTAAATGAAACTTTACTGCTGAAAATAACTGATGAACACATCTTATTTTGATAGACATCAATGACACCAGGCTCTAAAAGCCCATAAAATCTCCTCATATAATTCAAGTGCAGCTTCAGGGGGAAACTGTAACTGAGCGTCCTCAGTACACTTCAGCACAGCTCACTTCTGTTCCCCATCACCCAGCAGTTAAATATTCCTGCATGCAGCTGTAATAGAGAAGAGACTGATGCGGCAGGTATGGCAGAACAAGTCTGGACATATAGGGCCTATGCCTTTCCACTGTCTAGCAAATGTGCAGTGAGTGGGCTTGAGGAGCTTATGAACTAGGCAGTTCAGTTCAATAAGCTTTAGGCCTGCATGACCTGGCATGACAAAATGATCTGTCATCATACACTAGGGCCTGTTGGTTTCTGGGAGTTAAGTGGAAAATGATTAAAGGCAGTTTGTAGGGGAGGGGGAGGGGATCTGTGGGAACTGATGTGCTTGACAATTAAATTTTCATAACAACAAACAAGATTTGGGTATATGCACAAATGACCCAACAGTGAGTTTGTTAGCTGTATTCATTTAAATGTTGTTGACGATGGTTATATGTGACATTTCAATTTGGCTTTCATGAGCCTGTGAGGACCTGAGCGCAGGTGGTGACACAAGAGAGAGAGAGAGAGAGAGAGAGAGAGAGAGAAGGGACTAATCCAACTTCAGGCTTAACTGCGACTTAACATCATTTATGGCACTGGAATTAAATTCTAAATGTAAAAAATGAATCATCCTACCTGCTGTTGATGTGTGAAACACCGCGACAAGCAGCAGCAGCAGCAGCCATGTCTCACGCACTGGACTCCATGGATCCATCCTGGTGCATGTGGAGGTGCTGCAGCGGTCACCTACTCCCTCGTGGACACCTGCACCCAGAGGAGCTCCAACACTTCACCGTCTGTGTCTGTGCGTCTTCACGTGCGCACCGCCAGCTGCCAATTAAGCGCGCGCATATGCTGATTGAATTGATGGTAGAGGGTCCGTCTGCGGTTTCCTTCTTCTTCTTCTCCTCCTTCTTCTGGATGGACGGATGAGGAAGAGGGAGAGAAGCGGGGAGAAGGGAAAAAAAGTCCCTTAGTCTCAGAAGGTGTTTTCTCCTTCACCCGCAGAAAACTTTCCTCACTTTCTCCCCTCCCCTCCCCTCGGTGATCCCTCCCTTCCTGGAGTCTCCCGAGGCTCGCGGGGCCGTGCAGGCACATAATTACTGCGCGTGTCAATGTTTGCATCATTATTGTCTGAGTGATTTAAGGAACTGTGGGTTATGTCACTGCCTCTCTATGGCGCGCACGGACAAAAATCTGCACGCACGCACGCACGAGCAGGTAAGGACCATCACACTGTCAGGCGCATAAACCTGTGCGCGTGTCTCTGATACAAAACATACAATATGCACAATGAACGCGTGCGCTACATTTCATTTACTGCTCTCTCTCACTCACACACACACACACACACACACACACACACACACACACACACACGCACGCACACACACACACGTACTAAAATGAATCCCCCACACCTTAACAACTGTAATCCTTACCCTAACCGTAACTTTTCTAACCCTGAAGACAGCCCTTTGAAAGTGGGCTTAAATGTCCCCACTTTCCTAAGAAGTCCTCAATCTACAAGGTCTAGCCTCAAAACGGTCATCACAAAGATATCTGTGCACACACACACATATTTGTGCAGCTATTCTTAATAGGACTTTGCATTAACTTCCATTCATTTACAGAAAGCCTAACTGGAAAACCTTATCCCCTAACCAGGACCAATTCATGACTAACTTTAACTTAAACCTACTCACAATTCACATCTTATCCCTAACTTGAACTAGGACCTCACAAAGTTTTTGCCTCATTAGAACCAGGATTTTGTTCTCATGAGATTTAGTGGTCCTGACAAGGTCAACGTTTATACTGGAAAAGGTAAAAACAAGCACACACACACACACACACACACACACACACACACACACACACACACACACAAAGCATGCTAGGACAGGACAACGTTGCTGCCCGACTAATAAAAATATGCTGCTGCAGATTCCAAATTCCAGTGCCTGTCTGTCTTTGCCCACCCCACAGTCTCTTCAAACACACACACACCATATTTGTCCTATAGGCACAATAAAAAAAACAGAGTGTACTCCCTGCCTTCTGTTTTATGTGTAAAGGATTTATCATTCTTTATCTCTAATGTGTAAAAGTAAAAAAAAAAAGCCATCAGAAACTTTTCAGCAGATGTTAATGGCTGAAGACGCAGAGAGAATCTGAGCTCGGTACATGCACACACATGTATGCATCCACATGAATGCCTGTATGAGCCTCAAGACTCCCCTGCTTCAGCTTCAGCTTCCATTTACATCAGTCTGTATTGACATTTAGATCACAAACGTGACCCAGACCGAAAAAATTAGGCGCAGGTGACTCCCAGGACCAAATCTAATCAAATACAAATACAACCAGAGCAATGTTTAAACATTAAAATTCACTTAAATCCACTTGATAAAAAGTTCAAGATAGAGCAATTTATGCTGAATAGATAAAATAATGATCAAACTATGTTTTATAATGGTTTCTGGCTCATTTTACTTTGTATTGATAACTCAGAAACTATTAAATGTGTACACTGGCTCTGTTTTTAAGAACGTGAGGAAAATGGATTCCAGACATATTTTCAGTGGTCGTACCTCCAGGTTCAGGTAGGTTGTCTTTAAATTATGACCGTCAGCTGCACTGCTGCTTTCAAGTGCGTACATGTGTTTGTGTGTTCATGCATGTGTAAAAAAGTAAGATGTTGTAATCACGTTTTGTCAAGACTGTACCGTTTCTCTCATCTATTCTGTGAGTCATAATTATAACTTTAACACTCTCACTCCCGACAAATATGTGGGAAAAAAGCATCCTCATGCATCATCATGCGTGTGATGTAGCCAGATGTGGGATGTAGCCAGATGTGTGATGTAGCCAGATGTGTGTTGGCTTGGAACACCAGAGGAAGGCAACAATCATACAGTACTTCAAGTGGACTCATTTAAAGAAGTAGTCACTGGGTGGCGCCAAACCTCTTTGTCGACATAGGCTGACATTGCTTGATATTTATTTGTTCTTCACACTTTGTATTTTACTGTTGAGACAAAAGAAACGACAATCGAAAAGGTTTATCAAGCTCTGTATATATATCTGAATGGTATTTTTCGGTGACAAAGAAAAAATGACAGATGATTTGACTGCCACAGGACCTGTTAGATAATCTCCTCTGCGTTGTGGCTGTGCGCCCTGTCCATGTGACCCTCTCTGTCTCTGCCTCCCTGATCCTCTTACAGTGACTCTCACCTCTTATAGTGGCTCATCCTGCAGAGCTGCACGTCTGTCTGTATCTCAGTGAGGCCAAACAGCGGAGCGGAGAGGCAGTGGAGCCATGGCGAGTCCCGGACAGAAAGTGGTGCTGATCACTGGCTGCTCCTCCGGTATTGGCCTGAGGATGGCCGTGATGCTGGCAAATGATGACCAGAAGCGTTATCACGGTGGGTGCAGTGTGTGTGTCTGTTACATGTATCTTGTCAGAGTATGCAGGGAATGTAAATATATACAGCAACTACTTCTTTTAAGAATAATAATAACTATTTGCATGGAATTCCACATAATTTAACTATTAACATACACTCACTATCGTTCTTACTTCATCTGCACAGTTCATATCGAGACTGTGCAGGAGTTAGCTTAAGAGTGTTACATAGTCTGCATGTGTATGTGTGTCAAAGCCACTGTTTTCTACAATTTATGACCTGCATCACAGTAGCATAAATATTTAAAATATGGACCATGTTGAAGGCAGTTTAGAAAAGATTTAGAAATAACATATCATCAATAACACAACACCGAGATCAAAGAAAATGAACTGGAATCAATTAAATAACGGAGACTTTGGAGCTAATTAAAGGCTCTGTTCTCGACTGACAACTGAAGAGGAAGCTCCAAACATTTCCTCTTTCTACAGGGAGGTCAGAGGTCACTCTTATCTCTTCAGAGGAGTCTAGGTGCAAAAAGGACTTACTGACCTCACAGGAAAGCTCACAGAACCGTCAAATAATTATGCTTCGCGTCATGAATTGAGTGATAATGTTTTTTGCTTTATTACTGATTTTCTTCAAATACTTAGAAGAACAAATATGTGTGGACATCTGATTAACAAGTACAATTTTCAAAGGAAAGTGTTAAATCCTAAATACATTATAACCGATCAAATTGCCACATAACTTTAAGGATTTTTTTGGAGTCTGTAACTTGCCAAGGCACTAATAAAGTTTCACAACTCTCGACAACTGCAGTCAATTAGCCTGATCAGGTCGTGTCACTATACAACAATATCTACGGTCTGGAAAACAGATTTTCTAATGAGACATACTTTATGAAAAACATGTGCCAGCGAGACAGTAAACAGCTTTCACCACTCACAATTAAAGTTAATATTAAAAAAACATTTGCAAAGTGTTACCACAAAGACTTTGCATCTGTTTCTTAAACCCCTCCTCCAAAGATACAGTTTAAAACCCCTCAAACTCTACAGCATGCATTTAAAATAGCAGAAACACAGTTGACAGATCCCTACGTGCAGACACGGGTAGAAGACATGTTGTTTATCACTGTGAAAATGACTGCTATGCATATAATGCACATATTTAACATTATCTTGATTAAAGGTACATACTGCACATGTTCAGAAATGTTCCTTGTGATTCTGCTTCTAATATTATTTTATTCTTACGTCTTCCCTTGCGCTTTTTTGTGTGTGTGTTGTGTCAAATTGAATTTCCCTCACGAGATATTAATAAACGCCCCAGATCCTGGGGATTGTAGTGTCATTAAGGTCTGAAGTGAACTTTTCAAGCACCAAAACATCGTTATGTCCCTGATCCAAACTTAACCTTATGTCACTCTTAAGACACCAGACAAAAGCTAAAGCTACAGCACAGCCTAGGTTAGGCTTATCATGGCCTATTCCTGGGCTATTCCTGGAGCAGGCAGATGACAAGACGTTAATGCTGATGTAAACTGGTTTCTGTAACAGGACTGTGTTGACCGGTCTATATTATGGCGTCTTAACATACTTATTTTACTAGAATGACTATGTTTAGCACTAGAGCCCGACCAATATTAGCCTTGTACAGACATATTGGTATCAGCATTTATATTTGCTGATGTAACAACTTATATTTTCAAAATGGGCAATACAGAAAGGATGTGTTTGTGTTAACATTGTACATAAAATTGTTTATCTTCTTAATTCAAGTTCTATTTGGTTGTATTTGTGTTTTCAAGTATCATGCCTCAATTACATTCAACATCTTAGGATTGCCTGAGAACTTCTCACTCACCGTTTTCACCGGCCATTCTTTGTCTTGTTGACAATACTTTTGTCGCGCCTCCCTCGCAGTTCTCCATCATTCCTTCATTCTGTTCATTCCTAAGACAAGAATTAAACACAGAACCAGGATAATTCAGCATGGAAACTTTTACCTAAAAACTTCACACAAACAGAACATGTCACGATGATGCATTAGAATCCAAAAGAGGATTTTACGGTATAAATATGTGTATATTAGCAATACATGCATATCATAACACGCAATCTATTAACACTACACAATATCTGTGCACATCTTGCATTAGCCCTCATGCAGCCTGGGGCAGTGAGCTAAGTTTGACACAGCAGATAATGTCTTTAATAACTTCATATATCTGGGCAGGACGCCTAATTACATGTCTATTTAAAGCAGCAGCAGCCTGAAGGCAAAGTGCTGGTGTTTTACATCCATTCACAAACTCACACTTGGAAGCTGCCCATGGAAACGCAATTCTCACGAGTTTAGGCAAACAGCATCGAAGAAGGAGTAATGTCTGTACAAAGGTCAAAATGATCCAAAGAAAACTAGATTGGAACATGGTGATTTTCAATCTAGTTTTAAATCCTACCTTTTTAATCTTGCTTTTAATTCAGCTTGATTCTATCGTATGGTTCTGTCATATTTCATCTCATCCTCTGTGTCTTTTACAGCATTTTTTTCTTTTATTGTTTATTCTATCATTACTCTACTTTCTTTTTAACTCATATTTATGTTGTTCTTCCTTTTTGCCAGTTTTTGAGTAATTTTGCTGTTGATGAGACAAACAAACAAACGGCAATGAATAAAAAGTTAACAACTGTTGCTAAGCATCCATTTACCAATAAAATAATAAAATATGAACACCTCAGCCTCCTAAAACAATGAAAATCATTATTTTATCTTTGTTTACATGATGAAGTATTTTAAATGTTACCAGCCAGCACAGACTACTAATTTAGGTAACTCAAAAATAGTTTTGGTCCTCTTTGAGAAAACTCAAAAGAAAACACCGCAGCACTTCAGGTCCCATTAACTTTATTCAGGGCTGATTAATATACATAATTTTATCCTCCATTTGTCTCTCAGCTCACATTAGCGTGTAGTTACAGGCCTGACAGAAACAGATCAAGTGTTGCCAAAGCAAATCACGACATATGTCAAAACAATATTATATAATAAGTACATATTATGTACTCTCTGGCAAAACTCTTCAGTTACTCAATACTTGACTCCCCTTGTCATCCCACAGTCATCGCCACGATGCGTGACCTGAAACGTAAAGACAAGCTGGTGGAAGCTGCCGGGGATGCGTACGGGAAAACCCTCTCTCTGGCTGTTCTCGACGTCTGCAGCGATGAGTCTGTCAAACAGTGTATTAATGGCATCAAAGATCGACACGTGGATGTCCTGAGTAAGTACAAGGGAAGGCTTCAGGCTGTTCCATGGATTGTGGCAATGACTGAAATTGATAGTGATTACACCCCCTCTTCTTTTATTCCCTCCCTTTCTCCTTCTCCCTTCCCCAGTCAATAACGCAGGTATCGGCCTGGTGGGTCCCGTGGAGAGCATCCCCATGGAAGAGATGAAGAAAGTGTTTGAGACCAACGTCTTTGGAGTGATCCGCATGATAAAGGAGGTGATGCCCGACATGAAGAAAAGAAAAGGAGGACACATCATCGTGGTCAGCAGCGTGATGGGGCTGCAAGGTGAACAGAAATGGAGGTTTGACAGGATGAGGGAGGGAGAGGAGGCGGCATGGGGCGGTAAATGGTACAGGGAGAAATAACCTGTGTGGATGTGTAGATGATGGACAGATGAAGGAGTGGGTGGAGGTGAAGAATGACTAATGGAGTACAACAGCAGCTCTTCATTCTTGTTGTCTGCCAGGATATTTCAAACATGGATTCTGTCTCTGCAGGTGTGGTGTTTAATGACGTGTATGCAGCCTCCAAGTTCGCCATGGAGGGATTTTGTGAGAGCTTGGCTGTGCAGCTCTTGAAGTTTAACGTCACGTGAGTCCCACTTATGTTTTGTCCATCAGCAGCTGCAAACCAGCAACATTACATAAGGGAAGACACATTGCCATTATTCCTACAATATACTCAATGTATTATATGATCTACATAAGCAGTAAGTCATGTCTATAGTCTTGTAGGATGCAGAGATACCAAATACATGATGTTGTTTTTCTGAGTTCTGTGACTTCTAAAGGAACGTCACTTTTCAAATGATTTATTAAAGAATTGTGTATTTGCAGCTGGTTGACAGTAAAAGTTAACGTTTTGGTAGTAATAGCAGCATTACACGGAATTTTCATGTCACTATTGCATGATCAATCAATTAATGATTTCAACACTAGTATTACCCATTTCCTCCATCTAACCGTGCCCTGTTGTTAAAGTCAAGCTCCAATGTCTCTTCCCTCAGACTGTCGTTGATTGAGCCGGGTCCAGTACACACAGAATTTGAGGCAAAGATGATTCAGGAGGTGAAACAGAGAGACTGTCCTGGAGCTGATCCTGATACAGTGCATTACTTCAAGAACGTCTACCTTCCTTCTTCTATCGACATCTTCGAGGTACTGGGACAAACACCTGATGACGTCGCCAGAGTAAGTTCTCAAGTGGCTCACTGTGCATTATCTGTTTGACTGTGGCTGTGATTAATCCTGTTAGACTGACTGCAAATCAGCTTTTTAATTTTTTTCTGGTCCGCAGTGCACCAAGAAAGTGATTGAGGCGAGTAGCCCACGTTTCCGTAATCTGACCAACCCGATGTACACCCCCATCGTAGCACTGAAATACGCTGATGAAACTGGAGGCCTGTCTGTCCATGCCTTCTACCACATGCTCTTCAACATGGGCACTCTCATGCACGTCAGCATGACTGCCATGAAGTACCTCACCTGTGGATGTCTGAGGAGCAGAACCATTTCACCAAACTAGAAGCTTGTGTTTTGTGTACAGCTGTGAATATAACTGCATATAAAGATGGACAACATGACAGCTCACCAAAAGTGAGGTCAAATAATCTTCATCACCCCCCCCCAGTGGCTAGCTGTAGCCCCACTTCTTCCATGTTAGTGGATGGGACATGGGCCAAAAAGTCAAAGTACACATCGAATACATTTTTCTCCAAGAGGGTTAGTGTAATTTTAGGTAGTTCTTATGACACTTGTTTGTCCTGCTAAGTCTGGTTTTATTTGGTTATGTGATCCTATAAATATGGGATAAAAGTCATAATTGAGAGCTGAGTCTGTATCGTGATTGGTCGAGCACGTGGTACAAGCAGGACCTCTGTACCACGGCTCCACATCACGATCCCTCCTGCACAGACCACATCGTACATCTCATCTTAGATTGTCAGGGGATCACGAAAAATGTATAGTATCCTTCCAAAGTCATGTAGCAGAAGTCCAATTGTCACAAAGAAAGAATCTGTTTCAATGACATGATGACATAATGAATAGTCTTCTCTGTATTATTGCGTGTGTATAAAACTGTAGCGATATAAAACTCCTATTGAGTAGAAATACTCTAACTGTTAAAAAGTATTCTAGCCTGCCCAGAGTGCCAAATAAATATTTGCACTTACGATACAACATACTGCACCCTGATTTTATTATTTTATCCAAATCAGTCTCAGATAACTTCACATTTCAGACTGTTCTAAACTGTAACTGCTTCAGTGAGATGGGTCGGCAATTTGTTTTGTTGTAGCCTATGTAATTGCATCTATTTTCAAATGCTGTCAATGTACTGGCGCATACTTTATCTGGATATATGTGTCATTTATACCATCCAGGAGTTGTGTTGGTGTTTCTGTCGTTTCTCTCTGGTTAAAATTATGGTCTGACTTATCATATTTATATATAGGCTGATTTTAATATAAACTAATGAATGAGGATCTCCT